CACAGTCAAGTGGTCCTTAAAATTGAAACCCCTCTCTCCCCATCCATTATATCCATCATATCCCTCCAAGTCCGGCGTATTTTATGGGGCTTCTCCTTCATCTTCTTCCCATGCCACATGATTGTTGTTCTTAAGATTATTTGATATAAAATCAAGAAATGATCTCTTCCTTATTTGTTACTCTACTGCCGTTCAGACATGCTTGATTCCTGACTTACGGATAAGAGAGTATAATACAAGTTGCTGATTATTGTGCAAGACTTGACTAGGAATAATATCTCTCCCTTTTTTTGGTCAGCACTTGATAAGAATATTCAAAGCATGGTTAGGCTTCGATTAGGAGTGATGTGTTGCGTTAGATTGTGCTGTGATTTTAGGTTTTGTTTATCTTTTTCTATTGCAAAATATATAATCTTTTCGTTCTAAAATAATATTTTTTTTATAATAATTATTATTTTTTATATTTAAAAAAATAAATATTTTATTTATTTATTTATTTTTTAAATAAATTATCAAGGGACGGGTTTCGAAGAGAGGGAATGCACTTCAAGTTAGCAAGGTACCAATTAACCCGAAAGACCAAGTGCAAATATTTTTTTTATTTAACTCTATAATTATTTCTTAATTTTAATCATTCATCCATTATAAAACACTCCAAACGAAAGCCTTAATCTAAAAAATCTCCCATTAGAGATTGCAGGCCTTCAGGATCACGGGCAGCATACTTTAGAAGGCATGAGATTCCAGATAGCTTTCATCATCATGCACAATTTGCTTGTTTAAATCGCTAACCCAAGAGAAAATGAGGAAATAATTTATAAAATTCTCCGTTTAATAAATGAAACACGTAATGTAACGTGACATCCATGGTCCAGTTAAAAAATTATGAAAATTAAATCAATTTAGAAATCAAGAGTAATGGTAAGAAAAAAAATCATCCCAAAAAGTGAAGTGTAATAAAAGACATACAATCAGTAAACTTTTTTATATTCTCATCACTAATTTACCATGTTCTGATCTCTATATAATTATTTGTATGGTCATAATTATTGCACCCGATGGCAAGAAAAAAAAAAAATCAACCCAAAAAGTCAAGAGTAGGAGACAACATCCAATCAATAAACTTTTCAATGTTCTCATCATGAGTTTACCATGTTCTGATCTCTGTAAAATGTAGCTTATTATATAAATCAATGATATGTCATGCACAAAAGCACTCTTGCTTTTCTTTCCTCCTTGCTCGCACTCTCCTCTTTCTTTCTAGCAAGGAAAGGGGAATACGGAAGAGAAGGTGAATTAATGGAATTCCTTATTGAAGATCCTTTTGCCGGTCACCAAGAATCTCAAGATGAATGTCAAGATGATCCGATGCAAAATACGATCGCCGCTCCTCAAGCTGATTTTTCAGGGGCTGAGTTCCTAAGCCCACAAGAGTTTTACCAGCCACAGCCAGTGGAGGAAATGGTTGCAGGAGATTTGCAGTCCCAACAGCCACCACCACAACAACCACTACAGACACAGCCAGTACTAGTGGAGGCAACGGTTGCAGGAGATCCACAGTTCCAACAGCCACCACCAAACCCTCCTCGACCTGTTCAGTTCCCAACTTCAAGCTCTCAAATGATAGGAGCCCAGTCTGTGCAATACCCTCCACAGAGCATGCAAGCTATTCCTTCTAAACCTGCGCAGTTTCCACCCCAAAACCCACAAATTAATCTTGCATACCCGAGTGGGTTGAGGCACCAGCCTGTTCCTTACCCACCTCAAAGTCCACAAGTCTCTCAAGCCCAACAACATCCTGGGACATACCATCGGCCGCCCAATATGCCTCCCAACCTCCCCAGTAGTGTTGTACAACCAACCTTTCATCAACATTCCACCCCAACACAGCCACCGGAAACACAATTTCCTCAAAAGGATGGTGCACAAGGGGCTTATGTGGGCAAGACCATCCCACCTTTACCTTACCAACCTCCTGTTGGTACCACGTCTGGGATTCGGACGCCGGCCCCACGTGCAGAGGGTTGGAGAACTGGCTTGTTTAATTGCCTGGAAGATCCAATGAATGGTACTAAATTAAACTCTAAAGAGCATTTTCTTTTTCCGAACACAAACATAGTTTTTGAAATTCAACTTGTCCGTTATTTGATGAATTGAATTGTTCATTCTATGTTTTAGCTCTAGTAACGGCCTTCTTCCCTTGCTTGACGTTTGGCCAGATCGTGGAAATTGTAGACGGCGGTCATACTTGTAAGTAGAAAAAATCTTACAAGTAGTTAA